CTGCAAAGGAATGGAGTAATGAGTTTATTACCTTTCATTACCTATATCATAATACAATAAAACATATATCATAATTAGAGATGAGCGAATCGAACTTTGGCGAAGTGGAATTCGTTTTGAATATTAGGAAATATTCGAATCCGGAAATTAGCAGACTTCGGATGCGCGAATCGAAATTTTTCCTAAAATGGCGGCGACATGTGTGGCGACGGAGCACAGCGGGATCTCTGGAAGCGCGCAGACCAGGCGCGCTGACCCATAATGCATTCATTCATGTCATGTGATCGCATTAGCCAATCAGCAGCCAGCCAGCCAGCACTGTGTAATGGTGGAGCTTATAAATTGGCGGCCATCTTACAATTCTTCATTTGCCTCGGTCATTCAAGAGAGACAGACCTCTCTGTATTAGTGGACAGAGTTAGGGCCACAGATACTTTAGGGACACCAGAAATCGATACTTAGGGACACAGAATTGTTACTCACCGTACACAGAACTGTTACTCAGGGACACAGAAACTGTACTCAGGGACAGACCAACAGAATTGTTACTCAGGACACAGAACTGTTACTCAGGGAACACAGAACTGTTACTCAGGGACACCCCAGAATTTGTTACTCAGGGACACAGAACTGTTACTCAGGACACAGAACTGTTACTCAGAGGACACAGAATTGTTACTCAGGGACACAGAACTGTTACTCAGGGACACAGAACTGTTACTCAAGGACACAGAACTGTTACTCTAGGGACACAGAACTGTTACTCAGGGACAGACACAGAATTGTTACTGAGGGACACAAAAAGAATTGTTACTCAGGGACACAGAACTGTTACTCAGGGACAGACACAGAATTGTTACTGAGGGACAACAGAACTGTTACTCAGGGACAGAGAGAACTGTTACTCAGGATACAGAACTGTTACTCTACAGGGACACAGAACCTTGTTACCTCAGGGACACAGAGAATGTTTACTCAGGGACAGACACAGAATTGTTACTCTGAGGGACACAGAATTGTTTACTGAGGGACACAGAATTGTTACTCAGGGACAGACACAGAAACTGTTACTGAGGGACACAGGAACTGTTACTCAGGGGACACAGAACTGTTACTCAGGACAGACCACAGAATTGTTACTGAGGACACAGAAATGTTACTGAGGACACAGAATTGTTTACTCAGGGACAGACACAGAATTGTTACTGAGGGACACAGAACTGTTACTCAGGGACACAGAACTGTTACTCAGGGACAGACACAGAATTGTTACTGAGGACACAGAATTGTTTACTGAGGGAACAGAATTGTTACTGAGGGACACAGAAAATTGTTACTGAGGGGACACAGAACTGTTTACTCAGGGGACACAGAAAACTGTTACTCAGGGACAGACACAGAAATGTTACTGAGGGACACAGAATTGACATGAAAGGACACAGAATCCGGTTACTCAGGCGGACACAGAACTGTTACTCAGGGACACAGAAACTGTATACTCAGGGACAGACACAGAATTGTTACTGAGGGACACAGAATTGTTACTCAGGGAGACAGACACAGAATTGTTACTCAGAGGGACACAGAATTTGTTACTCAGGGACACAGAACTGTTTACTCAGGGACAGACACAGAATTGTACTGAGGACACAGAAATGTATACAGAGGGGACACAGGAAATGTTACATCAGGGACAGACACAAATTGTTACGCAGGGACACAGAACTGTTTGTTCAGGGACACAGAACTTTGTTACTCAGGGACACAGACATACTCCCCTCGTTACTCAGGGGACACAGCTCTCTGTTACTCAGGGACAGACAACAGATTGTTACCTGAGGGACACAGAATTGTTACAGAGGACCTCTTCCTGCCACAGAATTGTTACTACTCAGGGACAGACACAGAATTGTCCTTACTACATGTACACAGAACTGTTTTACTTCAGTACGGACACAGAAAGTTTTACTCAGGGACACAGAAACTGATACTCCAGGGACACAAGAAATCGTTACTCCAGGGAACACATAATTGATTACACAGAGTGTGACAGCCACAGAATTGGTTTACTCGAGAGGACACCGAAGTGTTACTGAGGGACACCAGAATTGTTACTGAGAGGACACAGAAGTGTTACTCAGGGACACAGAACCTGTTCACTCAGGGACACAGAACTGTTACTCCAGGGACAGACAAACAGAATTGTTACTGAGGGACACAGAAATGTTACTGAGGGACACAAATTAGTTACTATTCAGGGAAGAGACACCAGAAACTGGTTTTACTGAGAGACACAGGAACTGTTACTCCAGGGACACAGAGAACTGTTTACTCCAGGGACACAGAAATCGTTACTCAGGGACCACACAGACAATTGTTTACCTGCAGGGACAAGACACAGAATAGTTACTGAGGGACACATAATTGTATCCTGAGGGACACAGAATTGTTTACTCCAGGGACACAGAACTGTTACATCAGAAGGGACCACAAGAACTGTTACTCAGGGACAGACACAGAAATTGTTACTGAGGGACACAGAATCGTTTACTGAGAGACACAGAATTGTTACTCAGTGACAGACACAGCAATTGATACGTGAGGGACACAGACCATGTGTACTCAGGGACAAGACACAGACATATGTTTACTTCAGTGGACACCAGAATTGTTACTCAGGACACAAAATTGTTACTCCATGGACAACAGAACTGAATACTCAGGTACACAAGAATCGTTACTCAGGGACACAGAATCGTTGCATACCTAAAAGAGTAAGCTCCAGACAACACGCAGAGGAGATTGGCAGAGGAGGCAATGTATCAGGAGCGAGCATACGTGGACAGCAGAGGAAGGGGTCGAGGCAAGCACTAGTCGCCAGCCAGAGGCCAGTGCTCCCGGTGTCAATCCAGCGGTCGAGTCCTCCACCCAACAACCCTGCCGTCATCGATTGGTTGGCTCGGTTCCGTCTTCCCTCTTCCCAGTTCACCTCTGTACACCTACAGCCAAATGGTCGGTGGGTTACGTCAGACACAACCCACCCACCGTTAGGTTAGGCACATGGCCCGGGAAGCAAGCCCACTGAAAATCCACGTTGTCCTCTACCTTGCCCCTGTCACTTTGGTGTTTCACACTCACCCAAGCGAAGTATCGCATGCTGTGGGCCTCAGCCCCACTGTACAGATGAGGAAAGAGCTAACAGAGGGCGTCAAGGAACGGGTGACCACATCCTCACACCTTCAGCAGCAGCCAGGCGAAGAAAGTACTAGGCGCGGAGAGTGACATCGTTAGCTGGTCTAGAGACATGTCCTGTCTACCTGACCCCACCAACGCAGCCGAGGGGGCTAGTAGTGATGGCGAGAACACCCTAATTTGATGACTGAGGAAGGCTGATCGCAACTTGGCAAGCCTCGTCGTCAATCAGGCATTATCTTGCTATCCCCGCATCATACAGGAGAAGAGGGTAGCCAGCTTGGCAGCGAGCAAAACAGATCGGTGGGGATTGCCCAGAAGGCAGCAGTGTCCTGCAGCAGTGTCAGGGTGAGGCAAACGGCCACGTCATGTAGAAAGCCACCAGCACTCCACTGCTGGTGGGTTACCATTTTTACGCGTCATAGGGTGCTGGCAGATTACCGGGCCCTCCCATATGCTGGCAAGGCCAGGCCCCTAATCTTGCATGGGCCACCTGCTCTACCCCCTGCCTCCTTATCCTCAGCTGCCAAAGGTCCACAGAGTGTCATGGGTCCCTGTATACCCCGCCATCCCAATGCTAGCTGTACTCCATCGTCACACTCTGCCCCATGTGACCACTTTTTCAGGTACTACTCACACTGCGCTTACGCTGGGTTTCCATTTTTGTCATAGGGTTGCTGGGCAGATTACGGGCCTTCCATTGCAGCTGCTATGCTGCCAGCCCCTAATCTTGCCATGGGCCCCTGTACCCGCCTCCTTCATAGCTGCTGCCCAGGTCCACATTGTGTCCAAGGGGTCCCCTGAACGGCCTCCCATTGCATGCTGTCCACCATCGCCACACTCTGTCTGCAAAAGTCTGCCATGTGCCACTTTCAGGTCTCCTCACAACCCTGGGGTGCTGCTGGGTTTCCATTTTTTGTCATAGGGTGCTGAGCAAGCATCAAACGGGCCTCCCATTGCTGCCTAGTCCAGGCCCCTAATCTGCTCCATGGGCCCCCTGGTACCACTCAACCACGCCTCCATCATGCTGCTGCCAAAAGGTCCACAGTGTGTCAGGGGTCCCTGTACGCGCCTCCCATAGCTTGCACTGTCACCATCGCCACACTCTGGCCATGAGCCCACATTCCAGGTCCTCCTCACACACTGCAGCAGCGGGTCCATTTTTTGTCATAAGGGTGCTGGCAGATTACGGCCCTCTCCATTGCTGCTAGCCAGGGGGGAGGGGGCGACGCCGCTCAGGGCCCCTAATCTGCCATGGGCCCCCGTAATCGCCTTCCCCTCAAATGCTGCCTACAGCCCAGGTTCCAGAGTGTCCCTCATGGGTCCCCAGTACGTCCCTCCCCGATTGCTCTGCTGTCTCCATCCAATGCCACACTTTCCCTGCCCCATTTGTTGGGGCCACTTTCAGGTCTATCCTCCACACACTGCTGCTGGGGGGTTTCCATTTTGGTCATAGGGTGCTGGCAGATTACACGGGCCGATCCTGTTGCTGCTGGCTGCGCCAGGCCCCCTAATCTGCCATGGGCCCCTGTAAACCCGCTCTCCTCATGCTTGCTCGCCATGTTCCACAACATGTGTCATTGGTCCCCTGTACGGATCACGGCCTCCCATTGCTGCTGTCTCCATCAGCCACCACTCTGCCATGTGCCACTTTCAGGTCTCCTCACACTGCTCAGCTAGAGATTCCATTTAGTACATAGGGTGCTGCAGATTTACGGCCCATCCCATTTGCTGCTGCCAGGCCCCTAATCTGCATGGGCCCCTGTAACCGCCTCCATCATGCTGCTGCCAAGGTCCACAGTTGTGTCATGGGTCCCTGTAACGGCCTCCCATTGCTGCTGTCTCCATCGCCCACACTCTGCCAGGTTGCCACTTTCAGGTCTGCCTCCACACTGCTTGGACTGGGTTCCATTTTGTCATAGGGTGCTGGCAGATTACGGCCTCCCATTGCTGCTGCCAGGCCCCTAATCTGCCATGGGGCCCCTGTACCCCTGTACCTGACCCGACTCCTCAGTGCTGTGCCTGCCAGGACTACCACAGTGTGTCATGCGGTCCCCTGTTACGGCCTCCACCATTGCTGCTGTCATCCCTCGCCCACACTCTGCCATGTGCCCACTTTCAGGTCTCCTCACACTGCTGGGTGGGTTCCATTTTGTCATAGGGGGGGGGTGCCTGACAGATTATAACGGGCCTACCATTGCTGCTGCACCAGCCCGTAATCTGTCCATGGGCCCCTGTACCAGCCTCCTCATGCTGCTGCCCAGTCCAGAGTGTGTCATGGGTCCCTGTACGGGGCCTCCCATTGCTTGCTGCGCTGTGTCCCATAATCTGCCATGGGCCCACCCCGTACCGACTCCTCATGCTGGCTGCCAGGCCCGTAAATCTTGTCATAGGGGCCCCTGTACCGCCTCCTCATGCTGCTCGCCATGTCTCCAGAGTGTGTCATGGGTCCCCCTGGTACGGCCTCCCATTGCTGCTGCCAGGCCCGTAAAACCTGCCATGGGCCCCCGTAACCGACTCACTCATGCTGCATGCAGCCAAGCCCGTCCAATCTGTTCATTGGGCCCCTGTGTCACCCAACCCGCCTCCTCATCAGCTGCTGCCAGGTCCAGAGTGTGTCATAGGGGTCCCAGTACGGCCCACTCCCATTGCTTGCTTGCCCAGTCCCGTAATCTGCCATGGGACACCCTGTACCTGACTCCATCATGCTGCAGCTAGGCCCGTAATCTGTCATGGGCCCCTGTACCAACCATCCGCCTCCTCATGCCTGCTGCCAGGTCCAATGTGTCATAGGTACTGTGGGACGGCCTCCCATTGCTGCTGTCTCCATTGCCACACTCTGCCATGTGCCACTTTCCTCAGGTCTCCCTCCACACTGCTGGTGGGGGTTCCATTTTGTCATAGGGTTGCTGTATGGCCTCCCAATTGCTGCTGTCCCGGAGGCCCGTAATCTGCATGGGCCCCTGTACGCGACTCCTCATGCTGCTGTTATCCAGGCCCGTAATCTGTCATGGGCCCCTGTAACCGCCTCCCTCATGCTGCTGCCAGGTCCAGAGTGGTGTCATGGGGCCCTTGGTACGAGCCTCCCATGCTGCTAGCTGCCAGGCCCGTAATCTGCCAATGGGCCCCCCGTACCGTGACTCCTCATGCTGCTGCCAGGCCCGTAATCTGTCATGGGCCCCTGTACCACCATCCTCATGCTGCTCGCCAGGTCTAGAGTGTGTCATGGGTCCCTGTACGGCCACCCATTTATCTGCAGGGTCTCCATCGCCACACTCTGCCATGTGCCACTTTCAGTCTCCTCACACTGCTGGTGGATTCCATTTTGTCATAGGGTGCTGTAATGGACTCCCATGCTGCTGCGCTGCCACCGCCACACTGTGGCTCCACACACTGGTTTTGGTGCCCCGTGACTGCCCAAATGAGTGAAGTGTGGCGGTGATTCTAAGATCGACGGCACTCATCTGCATGTCATAACTATAAGTTAAATTCGCAGCGAATATATTCGACTCGAATCAAATTTTTTCCACGAATTCGCCGAATCAGTCGAATCGAATTTTTTGAATAATTCGCTCATCTCTAATCATAATATTATAATACATAAAACAAGCATCATATACATATTACTCTATCCCATTGCTGCTGCACATACATGTCCACATCAAATGTTTGGCCTAATTATGTTCTTCTTCTGCCTGTGAGTCCCTTAGCCTTGTAACCTTCTCTGGCAATTGCTAGTATACCACTTTTTGCACACATACTTTGTACTGGTCAAAGTTGTGCTGCTTGAAATGTCACCACCCTGGGGGTCTTCTAGTCATTGCATATATAATTTTGGCCATTTACAACCTCCTGCAGGAGGCCCGAGTGACAAAGACTATTTTTGAGCAGAGTTTGGAATGTTTACCCTTGGCTATAGTTTTTTTTAATTTAATTGCCATCTGTGCATCGTTGGGGAGATTTCCCTTCAAAGTGATAGAATTGCCCTCTTTGACAGCTGTCACCGGAACAAATGTCTCCATTGGAGGATATCCCCTCCTGCTCTGGTAACCGATACCATTTTTACATCTTTCCTCTCTTTCAGTCTGGATGACACTGGTCACCAAGACAAATTGAGAGAGTGAATTTTCCTTAACAGGGACACAGGAAGCAATAAAAACCTAACATGTTCTAAACCCTCACCACTTTAACCAAAAGGTTTTGGTTTTAGATATGCTTTAGGAAATGCCTCATGCTATTGCGATATAAAATGCAGGAACGTTTGTGGGCAGAAGAGGCTCTGGCATTTGACAGAAGAATGATAAGGTAGAATATAGTATGAGAGGAGATGAGGACAATCTTGACTTGGATCAAAATCCCATGTACACCCTAGGGGCTAGGATTGCAAAAAGGCTGCGTATTAATAGAGGGATCAGTTTGGAGGTGAGCACATGCTACCACAAGCTACAGCATTTCAGCACTAAAAATATATTGGCCCAGGTCCTCTTCATTTTATGTAATGAAGTCATATTAAGTTTTAGGTCTTCCCATGTGCTACTGCCAAAGCTAATGGCCACTATTCAGTGCTCCTACTCCTTGACCTCTCTGCGGCCTTCGACACAGTCGACCACCCCCTCCTCCTCAAAAAACTACACTCCCTCGGCCTCAGAGATTCTGCTCTCTCCTGGCTCTCATCCTACCTGTCACAACGCTCCTTCAGCATTACCTATAATGCTACCAACTCCCCCTCACTCCCCCTCTCTGTTGGGGTCCCTCAAGGCTCTGTCCTCGGGCCCCTTCTCTTCTCCATCTATACCTCCTCCCTTGGCCAACTCATACACTCTCACGGCTTCAACTACCACCTCTATGCCGACGACACACAAATCTATCTCTCAACCCCCACCTCACCCCCTTGGTCTCAGCCCGAATCACACACCTACTGAGCGACATATCAGACTGCATGTCGCTCCATTTCCTTAAATTGAACCTCTCCAAAACCGAGTTTCTTGTCTTCACCCCCCCCCCCAGCCCGGACACCACACCCCATTGATTTCTCCGTCACGTCCAACAACGCTACCATCAAACCCGCCCTGCAGGCCAGAGTACTGGGTGTCATTCTGGACTCCAACCTATCTTCCAGCCCCAAGTCCAATCTTTAACAAACTCGTGCAGACTCCACCTCCGCAACATCGCCAAAATCCGCACGTTCCTAACCCCAGAAACCACTAAACAGCTCATCCACTCCCTCATCATATCACGACTCGACTACTGCAACTCCCTCCTCACTGGCCTGCCTCGCCGCTGGCTATCCCCACTTCAGTCGATCCTGAATACGGCTGCCAGACTCATTCACCTTTCCAACCGCTCTGTCTCCGCCACCCCCCTCTGCCAATCCCTCCACTGGCTTCCGATTGCGCAACGGATCAAATTCAAAATCCTAACGCTGACGTACAAAGCTGTCCACCATACTGCCCCGAACTACATCACTGACCTAATATCCAAGTACCGCCCAGCACGCACACTCCGCTCCTCACAAGACCTCCTTCTCTCTAGTTCCCTGGTCTCCTCCTCCCATGCCCGCCTCCAGGACTTCTCCAGGGTGTCACCCATCCTCTGGAACTCCCTGCCCCAACCCATCAGATTATCACCTACTCTCCTCTCCTTTAGGCGCACCCTGAAAACCCATCTCTTCAGGGAAGCATACCCCACCCCCTGCTAACTTGCCGACCTCCTCCACTCTTCCTACCACTCCATCCCCCACAGCTATCTCCTCCTGTGCCACCACCCCCTCCCTCCTAGATTGTAAGCTCGAAAGAGCAGGGCCCTTGACCCCCTCATGTTTTGCATTGCATTGGTATTGTTCTGTCACATGTTCTGTCCCCCTTTGTAATGTACAGCGCTGAGCGAACTATTGGCGCTTTATAAATACTGTATAATAATAAATAATAATAATAATGTGCTATTCAACCTCTAGAAGTTTATGGGCCAGGAATTTGAGATCATGTGTTCTGCTTTATAATGGTAAACCACTACCCATTGTTCCTGGTGAGACATCTGCTTGTCCCATATGGAAGAAAAATATATTTGAAATATATTTTTAAAATATTTTTCCCAAATATATCGCCATATATTTGAAATGCTACAATTTTGTCCATTTTCAATATATTTTTCAAAATATATTTCATATATATATATATATATATATATATATATATACATACATACATACATACATACAGACATACACACACTGCATGTTGAAATGCATTTTTATTACAAAATATATGAAGAATGTTTTAAAAATACATTTCAAATATACTATATGTCTTTAAAAATACAAATCTACATTTTTGGAACGCATTTACAAATGTTTGTAAAAATATATGTTAAAATTACTTTTTTTTATTTTTAAAAATATATTTTTAAAAAATAAATTCTTCAGATTTTTTTTACATATAAAACAGTCATTTTAACATATATGTTTAAATATATTTGTAAATGCATTCCAAAAATGTTGATTTGTATTTTTCAAGACATACAGTATATTTGAAATGTATTTTTAAAAATATTTTTCATATATCTTGTAAATAAAAACGCATTTCAACATGCAGTATGTATATGTGTATGTATATATATTTATGTATGTATATGTGTGTGTGTATATACATATATATATATATATATATATATATATTATTTATTGGAGTATATTATTAAATATATTGAATAAGGCCAAAATTGTAGCACTTCAAATATATGGCAATATATTTTGGAAGAATATTTTTAAAATATATTTCAAATATATTTTTCTTCCATGTGGGTTAAAGCACCATGTTTGGCCACTTCGAAGCATGTATATGGATGTTTGTACTATAGATGCATGATTATATGTTGCAGAACGTGTTTATCCACACTTTCCATAGGTGTGAAAATGAGCATCTTTTTCCTGTACATCATTTTTCCCAAATTGTCTCCAGCTTTTCTCTTTGAAGTCGTCATTGAAATGGAAAGTCTTAGTGAATTTGACATTGCTGTGCATGGATATTCAGACCAAGACACTTGAATGTGTTTGCATGGTGGCAGCAGTCATAAATCAAGGCACTGGCTATTAGAACTCTGTAGCACTTTTGGCAGACATTCCATGCTTTGATCCCTTCTTAAGCCTATTACATTTAAAGTAAGCTACTTTACTGGTTAAAAACTTACCATATCTGATGATCTGTTCATTACTTTTAGCAGATCCAATGAGATTAAGGTTTGCTGGTAAAAATGACTAATTGTCATAGTTTTAATCTTCTTGAACGGAAATAATGGATGATTTTTTTTTATCAGCTAAAGACTATTTTAATTGTTTTGTATATTTATATATGATAACTCCAACGTGTTATTCAGTGCTATATAGGGTTCATTGAAATAGTTACATCAGCCCTGTTCTTTGCAGTTGTTCACAATCTAGTTTCAGTACCACACACCCTAGGGGCAATCTGGGGGGAAGCCAATTAGGCTACAAGAATGGTTGTGGGTAGAAACTGGAGCACCAGAGGAAACCTGCACAAGAATAATATACAAACTCCATGCAGATAGTGTCCAAGGCGTGATTCACACAGGAAAGCTGCAGGGTAAGAGCAAGAGAAAAATTATATCTATGCATAAGTAGTAATGTACAATTAAAACCCAAGTCCAGGATGTCCAAAGATAAATGCTCTTTGAAATAGCGTCTAATTACTGAATGCTTTTTGCCCTCCTTTCCTGACCCAAAGTAGCCTGCGTCCTCATCCCACATGCATACTTACCCTATTAGGAGGCTGTGGCCTACACGGATTGTATCCTATACAGAATGTCTTCTGTGAGCTCCTCATGGGCTTCTATAGATTTGTGTGCAGAAGCTGGAGATGTTTCGGAAGCAAACACATACAAGTCTATGGAGATCTACTGCAGACAGTGCACAAAAGACTTCCGGGAAATGATGTAAAGTATGCCGTGGGCACCAAGTCATGCAAGCATGCAAATGGGCAGCACAGTGGCTAAATGGTTAGCACTTCCACCTGGCTATACTAAGGTCGTTGGTTCGAATCCCAACCATGGCACTACCTACCTGGAGTTTGCATGTTCTCCCTGTGCCTGCGTGGGTTTCCTCGGGGTACTCCGATTTCCTCCCACACTCTAAAGACATGCTGGTAGATTAATTAGATCCTGTCTAAATTGGCCCTGGTATGTGTACAGTTGTGTTCACAATAATAGCAGTGTGTTGAAAAAAGTTAATAAAGCTCAAAATCCTTCTAATAGCTTTTATTTCCATACACACAAATGCATTGAGAACACTACACATTCTATTCCAAATCAAAACATGAAACAAAATATATCAAATTTGTGTTGTTCCTCTAAAAAAAAATTGAAGAAAAGTGAATATTAGACTGTTCAAAAAAATAGCAGTGTTTGTATTCTTCTTTACAAACTCAAACATTCACTATATAAACTGAAAAATGTTTGAAGATTTTGCTTTCCTTTGAATCAC